ACTGGTAAAATCTAAGAAAGTATGGCATAAGTAATCCAGAAAGAGCAATGTTAGTTCATTGAATTAAAAAATGATTGTACTTTGGACATTTGGTGAGGAGTCATGGTAAATTAGATGTCTCTGAAGGAGTGGTATTGGGATGAGATTGATGGCCAATTGGCATTTTCTGACCAACCAAATCTCTGGATGAAGGAGATGGTGAGATCCCCACTTGTATTCCAGGCAGCTGCTCCTCATGAGCAAACTGTAGGAGCTGAAGTTTCTGTATCCAATTTGTGAGATGAATGGCTGGGAGTCAAGGGATATCCACCAAACTCAGTATAACATAGCCTTGAGGACACAGCATGCTGCTGAGCCTCATTTTTTAATCACTTTTGGAAATAGCTTATTAATTGCTTTTCAAATAACTTCTTGATTAATAAATTTTATAAGATGAACTTGGTAAGCTTCTTCTAAACCTTAACAAAAAAAGGGTAAGTTGAACTACACATTTTTTTAAAAAAATAAGCAACAAAAGGGTGATCAGACAGTCCCTCAAAAACCAAAATGGTAAAAGAGAAAATAAAGCAATAGAATGATCGTCATTGATTTAGTAAAATTATAAATGGACTACAGGTCCAAATGGATTCGAAGTAAGATTTTGATTTTGAAATTGATTGTGGGAATTCTTTCCATGGAAAAATTCTGTTTTGAATTCTTGGAAGAAAGTACGATAGCAAGGGAATTTGAACACTGTACACTATAGGGAACCTAAAGGACTAAATATTGTAATTAAGGCATAAGAACACTTAAATTTGACTAAGGCAGAATGGAACCAAATACTTTTAACATTGGACGTATTTGCAGGTATTTGTGAATAATGGATCAGAAATTAATTTAAAAAGTGTCTGCCATTATAGACGTATGGCTTTTAAAATGTTGGGAAAGAGATAGTTTTGCTAGATAGGACAGAATTGATCTGAAAGTGGATTCCAGATCACCCTAACCAGAGGGGGTATTCAGCAGGTTCTGACCAGTTCTAGAGAAACGGTAGTGGAATTTTTAAGTAGTTCAGAGAACTGATAGCAGAAATTTTGAGTAGTTCGGAGAACCGGCAAATACCACCTCTGACTGGCCCCGCCCCCATCTATTCTCTGCCTCCCGAGTCCCAGCTGATTGTCTGGGTCTTCTTTTGTTGTCCTGCATAGGAGAACGGAGCTGGAAAGCAGGTTAGTGGGGTGGGGAGGAAATGGGATTTTACAGTATCCTTCCCCTGCCAGGCCACCAAACCATGCCACACCCACCAAGCCACACCCATAGAATCTGTAGTAAAAAAAAATTGAATCCCACCACTGATCCTAACCCATTCCTAAACTTTTTTTTCATGACTGCACATTTAACTCGGCAGCCTTTTTACTGTTCCACTTCAGTGATACAAAAAAATAACTTAAAATTGTATGATTCCTTTAGATGAGCTCTAAACAGAATTAATCCCACTGATGTTTTGCCTATTTCTAATACAATTCCTCAAAGGTTTATATTTCATTGTATTTAGCCAATGCAACATATAATACAAGGGCTGTATTTTTAAAAAAAGGTAAAATAATTTGCATTAAAGGCTGCCCAAATTTCATTTTGAGTTTGGAGTAGAAATATTTTGCCTGGGTTCCGTCAAATTCCATCAGTTTTAATAACATAAGAAAATGCAGTGTCTTTGGAAATATAATTATGTTTTCCAAGCTTTGTTAAATGTTTTACTTGTGAATAATATGTATCTCTGCCAGGCTAACTCAATTTAACTCAGCAAGATGTTGAAATCAAGAACCAAAAATATGAAGCACGCAAATGCAAGTAGATTAATAGGTACCATTTTGGCAAATAGCCATGTTGGCCACATGACCACAGACAACATTGGCTCCCTCGGGAGATGATTCTGACACAACTGATAGAAAACTTTACCTGTGTGTGTACGTATGTAGGAGAGTTATAACAAATATACAAAAAATGAGGAGTGCCCAAGATTGAGTGATTTCTAAAAATATTGGCGTATACAAAATTCAGATTTCAAAACACCACCAAATAACTATACTATACTATTACATATCATAAATGGGACAATTTGGCCACATATCTAGCAGCAGAATACAATAATTTTCATCTGATCTCTGATCCCAATGGTTAATTAACAAAGGACATTGTTAAATCACTCTGCCATTAAGTGGTAACCTGCCACAAAGGAAATGCACCTTAAATGGGAATGGAGTAATATATGTGTGACCTGAATTTCCAGGCTGGATAATAAAGGTAATATCAAACTGAGGGTATTACTTTAACCTATTCAAAGAAAATAGGTAGAAAGCCATTATATCTGCTGATATAAAAGCATATTTTATTGCAGTGCAACATATAAAAATATTATATTCCAACTAGGCAAAAAGCCTTTGCAGGTGACCCTTTTTAACAGAACACAACCAAAACAAATTAGTATTCCTAGTAACTGCAGGAAAAAGCACTTATTCACAGTGGGAATTTGGCACTCTTTGTTCCTAACTGGATTCTTAATTTTGGACCCATCTTCAAATATGAATTATGGGAAAGTAATACATTATTCAGAATACATTATTAGTCTCAACTTTTAATTATAAAATCAGATTGAAGTTTATAATGACTGTCAATTAATAACTTTTTTTTTCTTCCCAGAGAACTATGGCTGAAATTTAGATATTTATTCTTTAATCTATTACAAGTATTTTATTAAAATCTGATTTTACCTTTATAAAGTTTTATTAAGTGGAATGACTTAAAATCCAGGAAAATAAGATGTTGTGTTTTAAGAACCAAAATTTTCTTGAGTAAACTTATATCAATAATTTATTGTTTTCTGGCAAAGAGTTGTATTTCAGGCACATTATCAATTTAAATGAAATCGTTGACAACTTCAAGTATTGCTCTGAATTCAGCAGTATAAAAGGTTTAACATTGTTTTACAATAACAAAACAGCAAAAATACAATACAGATATTTTTATTTTATATATAAAAAACAATTATCAAGAACCATGCAATACAATTTGCTGAGGCTTGTAAAAAAGTCAATTTCATAGTTAGCAAAACTGACTTTATTCTCTTTGTCATTTATTCAAACCTTTGGATGCTAAGTATATGATCCAAAGCACCACACTATCCAGATGTGCATGCATAGAGAATTCCACAGTGCTTTAAAAAAAACCCCACAACTCTCACTTAAGAGAAACTCCATAGACACCTGTGCTTTTGGACTAAGGCAATTACATTCTCATTAAATATTAAAGCCACCAACAAACTTGGGCCACCTCCATCCAAGCTATCGAGATGTTAATTTTCCCACAAAATAGAGGACAAAGGAATCCCTTTGTACAGATTAATAATTTTCACTATCACTAGTATGAACACAATGGTGATATAGTTTATAGAGATTCCCTGGGCTATTACAATATTTTATAGTAATAGGCCAAATACTCTTAACAAAAAACATTTTAAGAATAGCCTCTTATGCTACATCCAAAGAGAAAAGTCTATTTCTAAAGAACCACTTTGGATTATCTTATATACAAAATGTAGACATTGGCAGATACCAGGCACTTAAGTACTCTGGATATTGTATCCACTGCTAATCAAAGACACTTAGGACATAACAGGACAGGGCTGTCAAACTCCTGGCCCATGAGCCGGATGCATCATGTGCTGGCCACGCCCATGTCTGGTTTAGCAAAGAGGAAAAAGTCCCTATACATGACATGACACCACCATGATGACAAGTTTGACACCCCTGAGTTAGGAGAATCACAATGATGTAATCAAGTAAATTAAAATGGAACATTTCAGCTGAAATAAGATAAACAGTCCTCGACTTACAAATGTTAGTTTAATGACAGCTTGATTTTACAATAGCCTTGAAAAAAGTGATTTACATAAAAGTGATTTTTATTTATTTTATTTATATCCCACCTTTGTTATTTTTAAATAATTGAAGGCAGTAAATGTATGTGCTACTCCTTCCTCTTCCTGTGAGGTGAATTGGTACGAGAGAGAGTGATTGACCAAGAGTCATTCAGTTTGTTTTGTCTTCGAAGTTGCAACTGTTACACCCACCATAGTTATGCATTTGAAATTTGGCTCCTTGGCTGGCTTGCATTTATAATGATTACACTCTCTTCCGGTCACATGATTCTGTTTTGGGACTTTTGCAGCAGGCTTCCAATTAAGCGATATCTACTGGGGAAGCCAGATTTGCCTAATGATTGCACAATTCACTTAATAACCACATGATTTACTTAACAACCTAGATAACAATTGCGATATAATCATACCCAGTAATGTGACGCCTTTCTTAATAACTGCACTGCTAAGGGACAAAAATTCTGGTCTAAATTTTGGTCTTAAGTCAAGGATCCTGATCAGTATTTTCATGCAAATGAAATGGCACTGAAAAACAATATTTAATTCACCAAATATAAAAAGCCTCAGACACTGAAGAGTACATTGCATATGTTCAGTGCCAAGTTACAGATGTGTCAAACTATTATATATTTCCAAGACTACAATGTAATTGTTGGTACTTCCTGTGTGTAATATAATTTGAAAACATAAATGCAACTGCCTATTTATACTACTTTGGCAAAGGCCTGGTGGGTTTTCTCTACCTAAACTAAAATATTTACATGGAATGTTGAACTGTCAAATCAGTGTTCAAACCACAAAGACCAATGGATTTGTTTAATAAATTGCACCAAGAAATATTTTAAAAATCTACTTAGATCTTTTGTCATATATATATACATACATACATACATACATACATACATACATACATATATATATTAAGTTTTCGCGGGTACTTACAGAAGCCTGATGATGGCACATGAGACTCTGCTGAAACGTTGCTACAACTTTAAAAGCACAACTACAATGACGTGGGAAAATACCCGAACAAAGCTGAATACTATGTATGTATGTATGTATATATTTTATGAGGTTCTATATAATATATTCATTCCTAAATTCCTTTACCTTTATATAAGACGCTAACATTTTATATGTTAGCATAAAATAACGGAGCTTCTTCTTTGCATACTAAGGTTATGATGTAAAATTATCACATACTCTTGGTAAGACAGATTCACTAACACGTAACATATATTTCTCTTTATCCAGTAACTAATTTGATGTTAACAGAAAATTTTAAAGTTTCTTTCTTCATTTGAGAGAATACAGCTTTAGGTATTAATCACTCGTGGCATGTGTAAAATGGGAATGATTCACAGGTTTTTTGCACTGAAACAGGGTTGGTTCTTCTCAGAGGCAGTTTTAGAAATATTATATATATATATCTTTAAATTAATAAAGCGTTTATATAAATATATGTATACAATTGACTCAATTACAAAGGCTATGATCCTCCACCACATTGTTTTATTCTTAGTAAGAATTATTCAAACAATTTCAAGCTTGGTTTAAATGAAAACCTCATTGTCTTTAATCCAACAAGACAATATACAAATACTTAAGATATAAAATATTACATATTTCTTATTGAAAAGAAATTTCAATAATTTTCCCACCAAAGTAACTTAAATTTATTCAGTGTCAAGATGAATAGAGAAATTTGCATTTTACATTATAGATCAGTACTAAATAGACATTTATATTCTTAAAAAATAAATGCTCCAGTTATAATATATTCTCAAGTGCTAACCAAAATCAGATATAGTACTAGTACAGATCTTGCATGTTAAGATGTTCTAGTAAATCCTAGCTTAAAGGAAATGTCATGGAGAGTGCAAATTATTTATGAAAGATATTATAGTAGTTGAGGATGCTTTTTAAAAAAACCAAGAAAACAAATAAAAATAAGGCTTCCCCTTGTTCTGCGGCCTAGAAAACTGTATTATTAATCCATTAAAAATAAGATCAACCGTATCCTGCAATGTTCATCTAACATGTCATAACTAAAAAAAGACCCCAGCAACAATATGTCCGCTTGGACCCATCTAATTACCATGAAGACGTCTGTGTAGCATTAGGAATGCACCCAACTGACTGGGACCCAAAATGTTTCTCTCTCCAGTTTGTCAAAAATTGTTTTCAATTCATTGTATGCTGTGGTAAGATCATCATTCACGACAACTTTGTCAAAAAGATGGTTGTACTGACTTTCCATAATCTGGGCAGATTTAATCATTTCTTGAAAATCTTCTTCCTAAATAAAGAGAAGCAATTAGTCAAATATATAAAGCAAATCAAGTTACAGTACTATTAATTTTACAGAAAATTATAATTTATATATTGGGCTATAAATCTCTACACAGATAGTTCTCGACTTATGACCACAATTGAGCTCAATATTTGAGGCATTTGTGAAATGAGACATTTGTTAAGTGCGCCTTGCCCCATTTTACGACCTTTCTTGCCACAGTTATTCAATGAATAGCTGCAATTGTTAATTTAATTTCAATTTTTAAGTGAATCAGGCTTCCCCATTCACTCTGCTTGGCAGAAAATTCACAAAAGGGAGTCTGCAACCATCGTAAATATGAAACAGATGCCAAGTGTCTTGAACTTTGACCACATGATTATGGGACTGCTGCAATGGTTTTATGTGTGAAAAACAATCGTGTTACTTTTTTCAATGCTGTTGTAACTTTGAACATGCACTAAATGAATTGCTTTAAGTCGAGGACTACCTCTGTAAGGCAATTTCCCATATACAGCCCCTGCTGTAAATAGCCCAGAATTTAGATTTCAGTAGCCAGAGATAGCAATTCAATGGCCCTTTCTCACTCTGTATTTCAGTACTGCTATTTGATTTTAAAATGGAAAGTTAACATTATTTAATAGTTTATTAAAATTATAATTAATAATTGTGATAATTATTTTAACTGTTACAAAATGTTATCTCAAATTCAGATTATTTTGAAACTTGATTTTGCCCAATTTCTAAATAATCCCCATTCTCATACATATCAGACATTAGTCAATAAATAATAATAAACTGTCTCTGTGTTAGAAACAGAACTAGAAAAATTTATTTAAATTGTTTATAGGAATGATGCCTTGAGAAGCATATTATTTAAAATTAGGTCTGCTGAAAGGAAGAGATTCAGTAAGACAGTATATTTATTTTTGGAATTTTGAAAAGAATCCAAAGAATCCTTCTTTTTAGATTCCTACATCTCTCTTTACAGCTCATTCAATGTTTATGTTTTTGGAAAAACTGAATGTAACCATATAAAATTAAGACAGAAATCTTAAAAAAAGAACATACTTAATTTACAAAAAAAATCAGTTTTACAAGTAAATTTGTATTGGACAGTCATTGCTGAAATGGACTAAAATTGTCCAAATTTTGTATTTTTAAATAACCAAATCTGAAAGGTATAAAAATTAAAATTTATTTTCATTTTTCTAGGAAAGCAAAATTTACTCACTTGAAAAGGCTTGGCAGCACCTTTTTCGTCCTTGCTTGAAATTATTTTGGCATTTCTTCGTGTCTCTCTTAAACGCTCAATTGATGGAGGTTTTATAAATATCACAAATGGTTTGAATTCCAAAGTCCTTAGATGCTTCACTGTCTGGAGGGATGAAAAAATTAAGGTAAACGTGTTGATATTAAAATGTATTTACTCTGAAACAAGACAAGTCTTGTGGCATTCCTCTCTAATAACAGATAGTCTTATTAGATATAAATTATGCAGCATTTTAATTGTTCGATATAACATACAACGTTTCATTCAAAATGATTCTTTGCAGAATTTTATGAAATGCTGGTCATTTTTGGTCCTGTATTGTAGTATCTTTAACACTGAAATGAGAATAAGGGATGATGTAAATTCTGAACAAGGTTTTAGACTAAACAATGTATTTTAATATTCAGATCCACACTTTCTTTTTACTAACAGTTCTAGTACAGTTGCTAGCAAGTTAATAATTCTCTTTCACTAGGAATTTCCTCCTTGAATTGTTAATAGACTACAGAACATATTAGCTTAATGGTAGGAAAATTAAACACTTTATTGTTTACTTACATGAGGCTGTACATCTAACAAACAAACTTTATTTTTTGCCAGAACAGCTCTAACTGAGTCAATGCTGGTACCATAATAATTATTTTTATATTCCCCATATTCAATAAATCTGAAATAAAAAATAATTTTTATATTTCTTACAAAATCTTATTCTCACATATATTTTTTAAAAAGAAAGATAAACTGATATCTTTATCTATTGATAAAGGGAATCAAATGCCAAGTAACATTTTTTAAAGAAATCCAGATGTTTTTAAAAATTGAATGAAAAATCCTAATTATTACAAAATATCTTATTTCAAATTCAAATTATTTCAAAACTTTATTTGTCCAGCATCAAAACCCTGGAACAATGCTAGATCAATTAGTGTAAATCTTCATAGGGCATATGTTGGACACAAAGCATGCATGCTTAATTCTTTTCTATTTTCAAAATACCCTTTAAATGCAGACTGAAACTTCTGATAGATTCATCTTGTGTTTGTCTTTGGACTAAACTTAATTTCAAATGATGGCATGTAATGTGTATTTCACTCAGTTTTCAACTGAGGTGCAATACATATGGTTTATACTAGAAATTGAAATTAAACTATGCTTTTGGCATCCAAGAATGTTCATCAAGTTAGCTTTGGCATTTCGCAGAACACTGAGATGAAGGAACAGCCTCACACTAGCAATGCAAAATGGCACACACAAAAAATAAGACATGAATTTCGTGCTTCCCACATACTTGTTATTCTGTATATCTGTCTCGAACAAGTGCTTGGAAATAAAAGTGTATTCAACACCATCACTTTCTTGGCTTCTTCGTGGTCTTGTTGTGTCTGGTTTTATTGAAAGAGCATTAAAAACCACTTTGAAAATAAATGAAAACAAACAGTTCTATTCTACTGATTTTAATTACCACCAAACTGTTAAAATTCAAGTAGACAGAATTCAACTCTTAGAAACTCATGTGAAAATTTAAATACAAGAAATCTATCCTGTGTTCTCAAACATTAATCTGGAACGGGTTTTGGTTGGTACATATCCTCTCCTTGCTGTCATGTACCTTCTATATCAAATAGCAATAATCCCATTATGTTTGACTACTCAGTCTACTGTAACTCTGATGTCAAATGCTGTTTCTAATGATTTCCATAGTTGATAGAAGACTGGCAATATAAGAAGTCACACAAGGACTACGTTTGTCTCCTCTGCATAAAAAACCCTTCGCCTACTTGTTTCCACCATGCAATGTTAGAGAAATTGAGCCAATTTATTTACGTTCCTCATGAAGTGGAAGATTCTTTAAAAAAACTTAATTCGGATATTCTTGCCCTATTCAACTCCAAGCAGATTATATTTATGCTAATTAAAAGGAAGCTGAATCTTACATTAGGAATTTATAGAGCAGGCTTTTTCACTTACGTGGAACTGTTACACCATAATGGTGAGTGTCACTGATTAACAATTTCCGTTTTAGTTCATTCAGTCCTACACCAACAGGACCTGAAAGTTTAAATGTGTTTCAGTTAATTGTTCTGATTATTAATATTATAACATAGTACAGTAGCTCTGTTTAAAATCCAAAATATTACTCAAAAGTTTTTTTATTGGAAGAACTCCAGTGTCTTCAGTATTCACTAAGTGGATAGGATTACCAAAGTCTATGGGTTTCCCAAATTTTGGCTTTTCACTATCTCTGAAATCAATAGCCTGTCATTTACTCTGCCAAAGATACACAACCTTGAATGGTCAATTGGCTAATGTTAAAAAAGAATGTTGATGGAATATGAAGATTAAGGTACTAATCTCAAAATTCATGATGTTATATCCTTCCTTTTTTCTCAGTTTATTTAATATGGACCATACTTTGACTTAAAAGGGCAATGTGTGATTATATCTGAAGCTGTTTCAGAAATCTTTGGTTTTCCTCAATAAAAGTTGTGTGCTATTCAGGAATGCATTTTGTTCATCTACTTGTTGGGCTTAGATTAAAATGTTCAGAAAGAAATACACTTTTGAACAAAACTCCAAATTATGCAATAGTTAATTATAATTTAGCCAAGATTAACACATGAAACACATTATTGAGGAATACTGACAACTTTAAATGTATTATTTAAGTCTAATAATGATTATACATTTCAGCTACAGCTAGCTGGTCCCTGTGGAACCCAATAAGACAGAGGTCTCCAACATTGGCAACTTTAAGACTTGTGGACTTCAACTCCCAGAATTCCTCCTCCAGTCATGTTAGCTCAGGAATTCTGAAAGTTGAAGTCCACAAGTCTTAAAGTTGCCAGGTTGGAGACCCCTGCAATAAGATATTCAAGATATCTTCAAGAACACTGACATATAAGGTAGGATTAACATTTCTGGTTTCTCCCCTCTCCAACTTTTCTTTAGCTCCAGCTATAATATTTTTCCCTTCTCTATTTGGAACAACCATTTTCAATCGTGATAACTCAAAGATGGGTAGACTTCAACTCCCAGAATTCCCCAGCCAGCTACAGGTATAAAGGAAAAGGGGTAACTCCCACTTTTTTTCCATTGTCACCTGCCCTCTATTTGTACCTGTATTCTAGGGAGATAGCAATAGCACTTAGACATATACCGCTTTATAGTGTTTTCAGCCCTCTCTAAGCGGTTTACAGCCAGCATATTGCACACAACAATTTGGGTCCTCATTTTATCCACCTCGGAAGGATGGAAGGCTGAGTCAACCTTGAGCCTGGTGGGATTTGAACTGCCAAACTCTAGGCAACTGGCCGCAGAAGTTACAGTACTTACAGTACTGCACTCTAACCACTGCGCCACAGAGGCTCCTAGGAGATGCTGCCCTCTTCCTTGATGGCCAAAGATTAGGCCAAAAGCACAAATAGAAGATACCTCATACAATTAAACAAATCTGCCAAGAAGTAATGACAGCAAATTCTTATTTTATTTGTGGTTTGTCATAGGGCATTTTGCTAATATAAGGAAATGCACATCCCTTGACTAAGAAAATTTAAAAAAACTGATGAGATTTATTATCCTTTAAGAAGGGCCTATAAAACATATAAATGGAGACAAATATTCATCTTAAATTTATCTTAAATTCTTAAATTTTAAAGAAATTTTAAATTTTCTTCCCAGAAAGTAATATTGCTATGTGTATACTGCATGTGGTTCTGCGAAATAGCGCCACATACTATTACTTTTCAATCTGTTAGAAAATAACTAAATAAAATTGATTATCTATTTTTCAGGTTATTCAGTAGTTACTATTATATTTAAATAATGAAATATAAATATATTTATGTAAGAAAAAATCAGCTATATATGTGCTGTTGAAGTTCTCCACAGCAATGCATATATTTTGATTTCCACATATCCAGTTTTGCTGAGAAAGTTTTAGAACACTCAGTGCATATTTGATCATTGTGTTAAAGTGTTTTGTTGACTGTCAGAAATCACTTAGGCAATAACAAGTGATTTTATTTGGGGGCTGGGAAAATATCTCAAGTAGAATTCAATAAACATTTTAGCTTGGATCCCAACTTTTTATTACACAAACAGAAAGATTGTTGTATGTATGGAAGAGATCCCTCTGCTCATGAGAGAATTGGTTCTTTCAGTGCCACTTGCTTTTCACTTAAGGATCTGGCATTTCTAAAATTGATTCACTGGGAATAAGTAGTTTGCATGGTATGTGCACAACCTATCACAATAAATAAAAAATTACCTAAACCTGCAAACACCTAAACAATTAAAATATGGGTGTGTGTGCAGACTTAACTAACAGGAAGGAAGTTTGATTTGGAACATCATGAGAAATGACCTAATGATAATAGCTGAGGCAATTCTATTTCATTAATCGCAGAACTACACTGGAATGGGACAATTCATTTCAGCCAAGTTGCCACAGCCAACTTGCTGTGGGACAATTCCACACAGGATAACTCAATGTGATAAATATTACCTGTCACCGTTTCTTTGACATTACTTTCATTTTTGTGGAACTGGACATTTTGTGGAGGACATTTGTCATGTTGAGTTTGTCCCGTGGTAAGTGTCCTGTGACAAATTGGCAAGTTGTTCTGTGGCAAGTTGGCTACGATAAGATGGCCATGGTGAGTTGGCTTCACAAGTTTTCCTAGACCTGTATTACCCCATATATCAGGATGTTATCTTCCTTATATAATAAAATCACCGCCCAGACATGACTGAAGCCTATGTCAGGGTCATCAGACACAGCAACTAAGCAAGCAAGCAAACAAAAAAACAAACAGCCTGGCATGGAATGGGAAAAAAGTGTGTGTTTCAACTTTGTACTGTTCTGAGGATGACAAATATTTTAAGTGCAAAATAGGCTGTTTCAACTATTTTAAAACTCTCAAACATCCCTATGTTTCAGGGTTTCAAGCCAAAAATATTTCTGGAACAGTCTATTTCATGCACAGCAAGAGGCATTTCAGATTCAAGACCATCTATGTTCTCTACATCACTACTTTAAAAGCTGAATTATGTATTGGAACAATGATAAAACCGAAAGAAGAATGTACCTTTTTCATCCCATTTCCCCTCAAAAGATTGAAATACACCTCTAAAAGGAAATAAAAACAGAAAAGAAGACAGGGAGGACCTTTTCCCATTGCTATTACTAACTCAATTGTAATGAAGTAAAGGGGGGGGGGGGTTGCAATCCAACCAAACCACAAGCTGCACTAGTGAGATTTTTCAAAAACTAAGACAGAATATTATACAGATAATCCTCAATTTACAACCCAAAACCCAATTTTGACCCCAAAATTAATGTTGCTAAGCAAGATAATTGTTAAGTGAGTTTTGCTCCATTTTATAATATTTTTTGACACATTTGTTAAGTAAACCACTGCAATTGTTAGTAACATGGTTGTTAAGGGAATCTGGCTTCCCCATTGACTTTGCTTGTCAGAAGGTCACAAAATGCATGACACTATGGCATCACTAATATGAACCAGTTGTCAAGGATCTGAATTTTGGTCACAGGACCATGGGGATGTTGCAATGGTTATGTGAAAAATGATTGTGCCACTTTTTTCAATGCTATTATAACTCAGAACAGAAAGTGTACAAAAAGCAAGCACATGGTTTCTGCAGACCAACAGTGGAAGTAGTAAGGCTACTCAGGCTTATTTTAAAAATAAGAATGTTCTTATTAAATAAACTGGACCAAATAAGGTTGAAATCATGTTATAAAACATTTATGCTCGGTGAGGATGCTAAATTTAATTAAAAACAAGTAGGTAATATTTTAAACAGATTCCAACAAAAGTTTTAATCCAGTTTTGTGTCAATTGACTATATGAAAAAATAATTATCTGACCTTCTGTTCCTTGACAAAAATATTAAATTTATGTCACACGCCATATTGGACACTACTACCAGTAGTAGCTCACATAAAGCTTTTAAAAATCTGATAATTTGTACTATGCTTCAATTAATATTGCCAGTTTTTCCACATTTTATCTAAGACACTTTTATGATTTTGGCCAGACTTATGCCGTTTCTAATACCAAGAGAACAAAAAACATCAAGATGACTGAAGATTGCAATAAATTTGTGAACTGCTTTTGTTACTGTAAAAGCACACTTTCTGCACTTGATTTATTATTTCCAAAATAAAATAAAATTTCTAAATATTTCTTAGAGTTAGCAGATGTGATTTGCTATAAAAAGTCTACTTATCACACTTTTCACGGGATTCTGTTGATATAGGTATAAAAGCAACTCAACCATATTATTACTTACTGTGTAGAACCCACAATTTCTTGCTCACAGTAGTAGGTGCCTGAATTTGTGCATTAGAAAATGGAAAGCTGTTTTTAAAACTGATTTTAAGTATCCCCTTGGAAATAAACTTTATAAAAACAGCAGCACTACAGTTTGTAATAGTCCCTGACAGAGGGTCATATTCTTCTGGTTTGCAATTTTTAAATGGAAAAATTCTATCAATGAAATGTAACGCAACGAATGCTAGAAAAGTTGAAAATATTTGATTTTGAATTAAATTAATAAAATATCTTAAAGAACTATGCTGTTATTAGTGTGAAAACACTAAGACTTTCTAAATTGTACTTCGCTTTGTAACTGATTAAATTCAAGAATCTATGTTCTGGAACAAAAATACATAACTCTGTTAATTCTAATGGCTTATATTGGATCATTTAGTTAATGGTTTTAACTATAAGGATAATATAGCAAGAACAAGCACAATAGGACAGCCTCTATCTATACTGGCAACTGACAGTCCCCAGTTAGGTATGACAGAGCAATTTGGGTAATTTTAAAACATAGTAAAGATCAATATGCTATCTAGAGGACCTTAATAAATAACATACCATACTAAGTTATATAAATACATGAATCTGTTCATATATTTATATAACATAGTATGGTATGTTGTTTATTATAAGGAACCATTCCTGATAATCAGAATTTTTGCAAGAATAGAGAGTATTATTAGTGGCACATAATAAAGTCCTAGCAGTTTACTCTTGAATCATAGAAATGATATGAACAATGACATCCTAAAACTCTAAGGAAAGAGTAACTGATGAAAGTTACAAAAGCTACTACAAAAGGTATTCTATGACACTTTTAGTTTAATTTTTGGGGAAAGGAGGTTTGGAGTTCTACATAATATAGGCGACTGGCCCATTTAGTGAATAGTAACAAATTAAGACAGTAGAAGCAATTCCAGATTGCAACTAAGTTTCTCGATGTTCCTTAAACCATCTTGGAATTCCACTCTGGATTGCAGTGGGTTGGTGCTCAGTTTATGGTCAGGCAATGGATTTTTGCCCTTCCCATCTATAAAGAAAAGTCTAGTCTGCCATGTTTGAATGGGTCTTCCAGCGTCTGCCTTTTCCCCTTAGGAAATATTTTCATTTCACTAAATGACATGCTTTGATTTCCCAAAGATTTGCATCCAAAGACACTTCCCACCCCTGCCCACATTTCTTCTTCAACACTATCACTTCACACTATCACTTCCTCCATTGATCCATCCATTTTATATCTCCGTCTGTCTCATTTTTACATGACTCTAGCCAGCTTAGACAAAATAAATGCAAGTCACTAATATACCATTGTTGTTCGATACAACAATATTCCAGACAAGAATGGTGTTCTTTACTTCCATGTTCTACTGTGATAAATGTCTAGGGAGGAAGAACTAATGTTTCAGCTTTATGGAAGCAAGTTTAATGAAGCTCTCAGTTTTATTCCAAAATGACAACGCTGCACCTTAAAAAGATTTGGGTAGAAGGGAAGCTTTACAGTCTGCAAAAAGAAGGGGGAAATTATTTACCCAGCTGAATCAGAAACTGAAAGAAATCTGCCCACTTGGAAATAGGAGATGTAAGGAGAGGAAGTGGAAAAACATAGAATGTTCATTTTAACTTGCTTTCTCATTGTATCAACCACAAGATGGTAATGAAAATAATGAGGAGGGGGAAGAAGTGATGGATGACCAATGAAGAACATAAAGAGTAAAGGCTCAGGATGAAATGGGTTCATGGGAGCAGGAGCAACCACCACATGAGAGGAGATGCTGTAGCTCATTGGAACTGGATAGAAATAAGTGCTATAGATAGACCATCTGCTTGGAAGGGCTTATAAGGCTTATGATGGGGGAAAAAAGAAGTTCTGAAGTAGAACTTCAAAAAAAGGGATGTATTTGTGATGAAATGAAAGATTGAATGATGTCATGTACTGTTGCGTTCAAGAAAAATTGGGCATACTGGACTGGTGAAGGGGTCAACAGATATGCACTTCTACTCTAGGAAGGGTGAAGATGATCCACAATAAGTAGGCATACAACAGGATAACTTGGGCCTTGGGAAAGGAAGAGAAATCCTTTGGGGTTATTGAAATTATTTGAAGTCTTGGGACAACAGAATTCAGAATTCTTAGGCAGAAATCCAGCACTTTCCTTTTGCATAAACTATACATATAGGCTGTAATTAAAAAGCTATATGTTCCTGAAAAAGCTAATTTTCAAATAGTGAAATGCTTAATATAGAGCAGGACCTTAAATGTTGGCAACTGTAACTATGAAACACCCTTTCTGTGGAAATTCCAATACACAAATACCTCTTAAAGCCTTAAGAACAGAACAAGCAGCAATCTTGACTTGTTAATTTACTCTATTATTTGATTATAATGTTCATTTAATTTTTTCAAAAGCAGGTGATTATAACAGATGGGTGAAGGTTGAAATTTACAACATTTCTGACATGCACATACAACCGTTTTTGCTCAAGCTTTGATTTTTTTCAAATTTAAAAACACAAAACAAGCATGGCAATGAAAAACAATTATAATAAAATGAAAAGCAATACAGTCCAAGTTCCATCATTTGACTTAACCTCTTAACTGAGGAGTTAACACTTACCAACTAAGACAATAAGTCTATATTTTTCATTAGGTTGCCGCCTATATTTTGCTACTTCTTCATAGGTAGGAACATCTGCAGTGTCATATTGATCACTCTTCTTGCATTCATACATTGTCTTGTTTGTTTTTTTATCCTTTCTGCTTAGGCGAAAACTTCTCCTAAAACCAGCTGTAGTTACATTTTAAAAAAAGGGAATATAAATGTTACTAGCTAATAAAGCAAACCACCTAAAACAAATGTTCCTTCAAGCAAAACATTTACTATTTGTATTATTAACATTTTCACCATTATTTCTTCATATAAGTATATACAGATTATAATACAAAATGCTTCTATTCCTCCAAATATCATATATTATTTTGCTCATATACATTAGGACACTGAAATTAATATTAGTTTTTTTAAAAAATATGTTGAGTAACAAGAAAATCCTTTAAAGATACTACAGTTATTTTTTCTTGAGGCTCATATTCTATAAATGTATATTATAGATAAAAATTAGATGCAATATCTAAAATTTGTTCAGTTTCACATTTAAGGCATATTTGTCTTAGAAACTCAAACCAAGAACATACTTTGGCCCTCAAATATACACAATTTGCTTTAAAAAACCCCACCTTAATTCAAAGATATCCAGAACTGTAATTGGTAACTATAAAATGCATAGAATACTTTAACATAGGTTGCTTGTCTATATATGCCTATTAGTCCCAGCAAAAGTCATATGGTTGATATCCATCCTGTTCAAAATGACATACTGTTAATTATAGACAGGGATTAATAATGCCATGGCCTAGTTCCATTAGAAATAATACAATCTTTTCAGTCACCATAAGCAAGTTTAACAACAAAATAATAATTTATTCATTAAACATGACCTAAAGAATAATTAAGGAAATTATCATATAATAGTTTTAAAATTAAAAGGAGTGAAAAAATTAGAATAGTCAATATAAATAATGCACAAACATTTTTTTTATTTTATCCCATTTTTTTCATATACAATTCAAAATGTTAAACAAACCTAATACTCCTTCTCCTATTTTCCTACAATAACAATTTGGTGAGATGAGCTTGGCTGAGACAGAGTAAATGGTCCAAATTTTTACTGAAGTGTTCAACTAGAGTTCACATGACCATAGGACGCTATGAATGCCATAAACAACTATTGGTAGCGAAATGATCAACTCTTGATCATGTGACCATGGAGACACTGACAGTTGTAAGTGCAAGGATTAGTCATAAAATTACTTTTTCCGTACTGTTCCAACTTTGAATGGTCGCTAAAGAGGCAAGTAATTAAGTAAGATGTACCTGTATATTATTTTAATGGTAGGAAATCTGCAAAACACAGATTATCTACTCCCCAACTGGGATTCATTGCTATTTCATATGATGATAAGCAAGCATGTGATAAGCAAGCATGACACATAGATATTGCTGAGCAGATTACATCAGGAAGCGGTTCAGATACTGTCAACGCATTGTTATTAGAAGCACTATTAACCCAAGGCAATCCTAAGTGAGATGAAATTTAATGAAGATGAAACAGCCATCTTATAGCACTAATTACTAATTATATTTTAAATGGTGCTTCTCTGGGAGACCAGTAATGACGGTGCTAAGAGGGAGCCCAGAAGTCACTTACATTTTGATGGTTTCAATATTATGAGCTTCATGAGATACTGGGGCAACAAGGCTCTGAGTAAAGGTTAGAATAATTATGAATTGGGTGTTCTTCATAGTCTGCCTTCCTAATGAAACATGAAATTTTGACATTCTAATGCAGTGACCCACAAAGTTGAAATAGGAATGTACAGTGACCATCTGTGAAGAGGAAAAGCTGCAGCATTTTAAAAAAAATAGCTCAAAAGCAAGATACAATACAACGAAGGGAGTTCCAAAAGAAACTTGGGAAAGGACAAAACACTGAATTACCTTAATAAATCCACAAGAAAGATGAAATGAGAGGGGGAAAAAAGATCTGGAGTAGGTAAACTGCAAACACTTTTCAGTGTTGAACAATGTTGTGGAAAAAACTAAAGAGCTTTTGGCAGTTGGACTGAATTTAGGGAATTAGTGAATGAAGCTCTTGCATTTCCATCCTAGCTGAATGATGTTATAGAACTAGCTGTTATAGAACAGACACATGGAGTTTACAAAGAACATGAACGATTTAACTCTGGTAATAGCAATAGCATTTAGCAATAGCACCTAGACTTATATAGACTTCACAGTGCTTTATAGCCCTCTCTAAGCAGTTTACAGTCAGTATCTTGCCCCCATCAATCTGGGTCCTCATTTTAACCCCTTTGGAAGGATGGAAGGCTAAGTCAACCTTGAGCCTAGTGAGATTTGAACTGGCAAATTGCAGGTAGTCAGCAGAAGTAGCTTGCAGTACTGCACTCTAACCACTGCGGCACTGCTGCTCATAGTACGAATGCAAAGCAAAGTACGAATGGGGGCGAAGCCAACTCCCATCCCTCCACCCCGATGACAACAGATCACACTAGCCATTTGATGGGCTCCATCCCTCTCTGGATTCCCCAGGTCCGCTGGCAAAACCAGGTCTTCAGTGCCTTTCGGAAGTGCTAGAGTGGGGACCATTCTAATCTCTGGGAGCCACCACGGAGAAGGCTCTTCATCTGGGTCCTACCAGGTATATCTCCCTCAGGGTAGGACCCACAACATTCCCTGCCTCCTTGCTCTAATGTGTCGGGTAGATGTCACTGGCAAGAGATGTTTCCTCAGATAACCCAGACCCAAGACATGAAGGGGTTTAAAGGTGACAACCAGCACCTTGAATTGTACTGGAAGCAAATCGGCAACCAATGCAGCTCCTACAGGAGAGGTGACATGTGCATACCGGGGTCTGCACAAAATTATGTGGGCCGCTGCATTTTGCACCAACTGGAGGTTCTGGATGCTCTTAAAAGGCAGCCCCATGTAGAGCATGTTGCAATAATCAAGATGGGAAGTGACCAGGGCATGAGTGACTGTGGGTGGGGACCGTTGATCCAGGAAAAGGCATAACTGGTGCACAACCCATAGTTGGCAAAGGCCCTTCTGGCCATGACCGCCACCTGCTCTTCAAACAGGAGTTGTAAGTCCAGGAAAACCCCAAGATTACGCACAGGGTCTGTTTGGGATAGTGCCACCCCATCCAAGACTAAAGGCGGTAATTCTCCCTGAGCCAAGGAATCCTAAACCCAGAGCCACTCAGTCTTGCAAGAGTTTAGTTTCAACCCGTTGCTCCCCATCCAGCCCCTAGCAGCTTCCAAGCACCGCGAGAGGCAGCACACAGCGACATTTAACTCACCACAAGCTGAGACATACAGCTGAGTATCATCAACATATTGGTGATACCTCAGACTATGGTGATGGATAATCTCACCCAACGGTTTCATATAAATGTTGAACAGGAGCGGAGAGTACCGAGCCCTGCGGAACCCCATAAAGCAGTGGGCGAGGGCTGAATCTTTCCCCTCCTATCAACACTGACTGAGAGCGGCCGCAGAAGAAGGAAGTGAACCAAGACAGCAAAAGGCCTCCTACTCCCATCCCCCAAAGCCACCCCAGAAGAATCCCACGATCAATGGTATCAAAAGCCGCCAAGAGGTCAAATAGAGCAAGGATGGATGCACTACCCCCATCCCGCCAGAGATCATCCAAAAGTGCAACTAATGCTGTTTTTGTCCTAAATCCAGGCCTGACTGGTAGGGATCAAGATAATCCGTTTCATCCAGAAACCTCTGGAGCTGCTCTGCCTTCTCAACAACCTTGCCCAAAAAGGGAAGACTGGAGACAGGTCGGAAATTATCCAACCGGGTAGAATCCAGTGGTGGTTTTTTAAGAAGAAAGCGGACCACAGCCTCCTTAAAGTGCTGGGGCAGTGTCCCCTTCTGTAGAGTTATGTTAGTTGCAGCATCCTCATGATAATATACTTGCTATTTGTGACTTTCTTTGCAAGTTTCCTACAAAGTTGGTGGGAAAGCTGGCGGGATGTAGCAAAATGGCATTCACATGATGTCCTCACTTTAAGATCCAGAGTGATTTGATTAATGACAACAACAAGAAATCCTGGAATTTTCATTGTTAAGCAGTGTGGTCATCATACTTTCCAACCATCTTGCTTAATGGCAGAAATTGCAGTCCCAATTACCATTGTTACATGAAGACTGCCTGAATTTTGGAGAAATTAGAATAAAATAATTTCCTATTTGATCAGTCATGGGAAAATGTCTGCAGTTTAATAAATCATAGCAGCAGAAAAGAAGTAGCAGCCACAGATCTAGCTAGGCTCTTACTAAATTTTAGTATTTATCTGTGTATTTCTTTCCTTGATGGATTTGTGTTTTTACTGAAATCACAAGAATTTTTATACATTTATGGGCTTGATAGTTGTAGGCATGCTTCTTATTTAATCAATAACACTAACTGCATAATCTATTGTTGCCAAATCAATGCAGTAGAAATTCGAATGGCAAAGCATTTATTGGTGAAAGCTTAAACTGGTGGAAACTTAAAAACAAAGATCTGATGAAAATGTCACACTTTAAAGTCAGAAAAAGGCTTATTATTAACATAGGAACATAGGAAAACATAGGAACAGGAAAGGGGTGTGCATGTGTAACCAATATGTTATTCTACCTATAGTAAATAGAGTGAACACCACTCTTCAGAGAAGCTAAGATCATTGAGGGTGAGTGAACATGTCCAAATATTCCCTCTGCTCAACTGTTTTCTAAGACTTATGCTTTTTTTTTATATCCAGAAATAAATTATCAATCTATCATTCACTTAAACAGAGAACATGGAAATAAAAGAAAGACAGAATTTCAATTAGGGGACATAGTAGAAAATCAAAACCATTTTATATACTGTAATGTTGAAAGTATATATTTTGCTTTGAAACTGAAATATATATTTAGATTGGGCAAGTTAGACATTTAAGAAATATGAAACATAAACTCAAATCAATATAATTGGGATGGGAGTGCGGACAACTTCTACAGGTTCACAGAGGCATAAGCAATGGTTTTCCCTGTGACACTATGAGAACAAACTTGAATTATGAATAAGCAGGAGAGAAAGACCATGGATGTTTTTAAACTAAAAATATCATGGATAGCTTAAACAAACTAGCAATAGACAGACAATCAAACAAA